CAGTGTTAATTTAATAGCGGTGGCAAGTTATAATTATACAAAGGGTCGTGAAAATGTCTTGCCTTCTTAAAACCAGCTAATGAAATAGAAACTTATGCGGGCAGAACTGAGGGAGAGGAGGGTAGGCGTACACAGTGCCGAATTAAGTCATTTGGGAGCCCTGGGGGGCTATGTTGCACGTTTTGCACTCCCAGGAGACTAGGGAGAAGGAAGTGACGTCAACAACGCAGAAAATGCAGATTGGATGTTGATTTTGTTTTCTTCTGTCAACATCCAATCTGCGTTTGCTCTAGTCGTTGACGTTACTTCCTACTTCCAGGTCTCCTGGGAGTGCAAAAAGCGCAACATAGCACCCCTGGGCTGAGGCTGTTATGAGGCCACTACCTATGATAATGGTGGTGGTGATGATGGTGGTAGTGAAGGTAACGATGACGACGGGAATATGTATATTTTTGAACTTGTTGAATCTAGATATGTTTTATCGTATGATTATTGTCGAGCCTTGTTTAGATCCGTAGATTCAATGGAATTCAAGTGTTTTTTTTTTTTGTTTTTGTTTTTTTTTTGCTGGCATTGAGGCGGATGCGATTGTTTAGAAGCTACTTCGCAAATAATCAACCGCTTTAGCAATTTACAATATCGTAATTTTGAGGTACAAAAATGAAATCAACTAAACATTGCGGAAAATATTAGGATTTATCGTTCACATCCAGCATCTTAACCACACAAAAAAAAAGAAAACGCTAAATTGTTTTTGTTTAAAATGTTGACTCCGTTCATAAATTTGTTTGACTAGAATTACAGTTAGATTCATAGAGAACATGCCCGGGCCAGTTTATACCAATTGGTCACGATGCCGACTTGTAGCACAGGTGACCCTCTTGCTAACATTTCGAGTGACATCATTATTCACACACGAATTGAGTTATGCAGCAACCGAAAAGGTAGATGCAAAATTCCCATTCTTATTTAGCTTACCCTAAATGGCATGTCTCGCAAATCGACAACTGCCACGAAAATCTAGAGCCCTTATTCTTGTCATTTTTCCAATTTATTGGAAGTGTTTTAACTTCTAACTAGCCCTCTGTTAATTAATTACTGGTGTGAACAGTGAAGGAAGTGACATAGGCAAGAAAGAAATTTAGTTAGTTGAAGCAGTCTTCATCGGGATCAAACTACTTCGTAAACGCTCTTCTAATAACTGAAATCTCGTTTCGCAAACAAACACAGACTTCCACATTTAAAGCATAGGAAAAACTGCGTGCGATTCTAAGACATCGGTTGCTGTCGTTCGGGCACATTTGCATTTAAAGAATATATCATGAGAATCGAGATGTTTTCTTTTTGTATCTGCACGCTGTCTTTTTGGGGGGAAATGTTTCGCATCAGATTTAGTACTAATCTTGTTCTTTTTAAATGCACTAATTTAGACCTCGGTGGCCATTTTGTTCTGTGATTCAACGTTAAAAAATAAGAGGTTATACCTCAGAGCTTGGTGAAACCATTGCAGTATTCGTATCAGTCGCTGGAAGGAAGAGTGTTCAGTTGCACTGGCAGACCAGATGTCGACTCCAGAGCACTTCCTTGCAGCCGGCTCCTTGAAACGCCTCTTAGTTGCTGGCCATAGAGACGGTGTCCGGAAGATTTACGGGCACCTTTTCGCTTGTTCCAAACCTATGGTTGTGGAATAAACTCCATATGGAGTTTCGCGAAAGGGTATAAACAACATGTGTGAACCATCTGTGTTGCTTGCTTAACGCTTGCTTAACTTCCTGCCCACAATTGTCCGTTATACACACTAAGGGGGCCCCAGTACAAAAGAAAGCTCTATAACCGTCCATCCATCAAGCTCCAATTAAAAAAAAAGAATTGTCTAACAAGGGGCATGGGAGGTCGTGTTAAATTTTGTTGTTCTGGCACGCTCTTGTACAACGAGCTCCAAACGCCAGCTGATTTAGAGACGGGAACTTTATGGCATCCTTGTTTCCTCGTTGAGGAAAAAAGAACAAGAAGCCATTACGCCAGAGGCCCTTCGGAGTGTTTCTTCTGCTTTTTGCCTAAACTTTCTTAAATAGAAAATAATAAAAAAAAAAGACTAATATTTTAAAATTTTTAGGGGCCAGCATGGGGCCCCTTGACAGCCTGGGGCCCAGGGCTGCAGCCCCCTTAGCCCGTAACTTAATCAGACCCTGGGCGTACACCAGCTGCCTTTGTCTCCATTGCATTCGTCGAAGGCGTTCGAATGCAAAAGCCAAACTCCAAACGCCGGACGCCCAGGTTCCACGCTCGAACGCGTCTTAAGTTTCTGCCCGCATTGGGACGCCTCCGCCGGATGAACATATCTACTGCGTACGAAAGAAAACGTATATAAAAATGGTCCAAAATCGCTGCTGCCGCTACGCTGATTCTAGAAGAAATGCGCTTTGGTTAACAACGCATGGTGAATGCAGCCTTGCAGCACTTATCCGCGGGGTGAACATTTCCGAAAACCCTTTTCCTCCCTGGTGCAAGCAGAGAGAGAGAGAGAAAGCGTTGTCAAAGGTGGAAGCAGATAGTGTGCACGAAGGACGGCGGCCGCACAGGATTGGCTGGTTGTAGAGAGCGACAGCGTGACGTAACAGCTAGCAACCGAGGTGCAGTGAGGAACAGCGGGAATAGGGCGACTTGGGCCGCCGGCAGGGACCCGCGAAGCGGCGTGTACGGGTGGTCCAAGGTAGACAAACCGCATATGCAAGCAGAGCCTATAGGTTGTTTACACACGACGTCAAACCGCCATTTTGTTGTTGGTTTGTTTTTTTAAACAAATTTACTACATTGAAGGATTACATCGTAACCGGTTGAAATGATGTCAGCGGTGCTCCACGCATTTGAGAAGGCACGTAAATCCTTGAAATGCTCGAGTTTGGCACACGCCAGACAGCTCGCAACAACAAAATGGTGGACGAAATTACATCAGTGAAAAGCCCAAGGTGGGTTAATATATTGCAATGAGCCATCCGCGGACTGTCGCAGCGAAGCCGCGTGAACGGGGGGCAGGGGGGGGGGGGGGGGGGGGGGGGGATATGTACCCTAGTGATACACACCAAACCCCCCGCCTACGCCCCCGCTGCATGCGCATTTCTTGTTGCTCTTCGTGTTAAACGTGTATTCGAGATTCGAGACCAGGGTGTAAGATAGACAAGTGGGGAAACGAGAGCGAAATGAGCGACCGGATTGTGTCCCCCTCGGGTTTCTCTTTTTCTCTGGCGCCATCTATGTGGAGTACCGCGAACTCTCACACTGGGTGGGCGACCAGTGGCGACCGGCTAAATTGAAGGAGATAGTTTCTCGTGGATTTTCAATGAAGGACTGTCGTGCTCTCAGTTTATTTTGCGCACTCTCCCATAAACTTCCATGCAAATACGAATTCCGATTTTTTTCCTCGCGCCGCAGCGCCATCTGTCGCAAATCGGGGGTACCCGCAAGCAGACGAGTACACAATCCGGTCACGGCGCTGCGGTAGGCTTCTATGGGTAGGGAGGCTCTAGTGAGCCTCCCTATCTATGGGCCGTTTCCCCACCTGTCTATCTTACACCCTGTTCGAGACATACATTTAGCTTTCGGTAACGTAACCATATTGTACCTTTGATTTAAAAATAAATGCGGACAATGATAGCAAATATTGAAGTATACAAAAATAAAAGAAAATGTGGTTACATAACGACGGCGCTCTTGTTGCCTACAAATTTTGTTTTCGTGTTGTCTGCTTTCTTTGGCTGCTCGGTTACACCTTCCAACGTTGCCCCCGTAACTTCTTTTTTTTTATCACGGTTTGTGGGAAAGCTGCCATAATGTGTAAATATGAAGTTGATTTTAATGGACCACGGTCGTCACGGGTAGTTTCGATACTTTTGTAAAGGCCGGTACGTGCGCCAAACGTGCCGCGCCACTCGACTGATCGTCTGCGTCGCCGTCCGCCGTTCACCCTAACAATTTTTTTTTTGGCCCTATCTTTTTTTTTTTTACAGAAAAAGAGCTACGCCTTGTAATCTTATATATTAGAGCCCACTTGTGAAATACACCTTTGACGAAAGGATTAGATTGCTATGCGCAAACGCCGATTTTCACGGTCCATTCTACTGGGTGACCCAAGGAGCGGCCAGGCTCTTTAAATCGACCGCGAAATTTTTTATGTAAAATTTGTAAAGAGCAAATTTACCTGAGGAAAAAGTAAAGAAAGAAAAAGACTTAGCTCCTATGGAAACGCAGCGAAACCACCGGTCTTCAAACAATACGGCGCCGCTTCGCACGGGAGACAAGAGATGGCGCAAGCGGTTGCGAAGAGATAAGGCTTCTATAGAGCCTGGCCGCTCCTTGGGTCACTCAGTTGATCGAGCCTCTGCTTTCACCTCTGTTTGTGCTCAATTTTGTTTTACACTATTATTTATGTTTTTTGTAAATTAACAAGTCTCTCCGTCTTGTTTCGCCGTGTCCTGCCTCCACTTTAGCCTACGAGACCTCGACAATGGAAGCACTGGGACCTCCGGACGGGTGACACCAAACCCCACCTCGAACAAACGGAATGGCTTCCGTAGTGGATAGTTTTGCGCATTTAAATAAATCCTTATTCTGATCATCTGTCAAAAATATGTCTGGTTGAGCGGAAGAATATTTTCGGCCTCATTTCTCAGAAGTGACTCTAGCAAACAATCACTTCATCGCCTGCCAGCGAATACTTTAATTAGGCCCGAGTATATTTGTGTTTACCCTCACGCTCTCATAAAAATAAACAGATAACAATTCATTCGCTAAACCACGGCATAGCGCCCAAGATAATCATTCAGTTTCGGTTTCGATTAGAGGAAGTGTGTTCTCCTACCACCAGAGGGACTATAACGTGAATTGCGTTCGTTTCACGGTTTCGCCGGTTTCGCTTACAAGCTACTGCCATGTGACCATTTGCGGCCAGTGAGAGTGGCAAAAAAAAATATTTTGAAACCAAGACGGCGTATTGAACGAACAGACACCAAAACAACGCCCTCTCTAGCCTTCTTGTCGCTTGCTTGCTTGCTTGCTTTCGAGAAAAACAACGTGAACGTGGTCTTAGTTAATTTATTTACAATTGTAAATTATTTCCTCAATCATGGAGGCGGGGGACGCCGCCGCCGATTCTCCCAAATTGAACGATTTGGCTGCTAATATGTTCCAGAAAACAGGGGAATATATCCAAGCGGAACTATCATGTAGGTGGTCTCACTCGGTCATGCATTCTTCCCGTTGTATAAGGGTATTATTATTAGTAGTAATATTATTCATCGTAGCTCAGAAAAGCCGCGGCGCCGCAGAAAGGCAAGTAGCTTGTACCACGAAGGCCTGCGGCGTCGCGTCTAAAGATGATCCGTTGACAGAAGATTGGTATGCAGTGGCTGCGTGTGATTTCGAACCTTACTGCTTGTCGGATCCAGCACAGTTGTAAACATAATTAAAACCTGAGAGTACGAAAAGACAAGGCAGGTACATAAAAAGGACACGCATTCTCCTTCCGTAGTGTCAGGTTTTAATAATGTTTGCGATCATCAGTTCTGCACATTTCTTTCAACCGCTGTCCGTAACACAGCAGTGAGGATGTATCTCGGGCTTCACATTCGATCGAAAGCTTTCAACTGAGATAAATGAAAAAAAAAAAAAAAAAAAATAACAATGTTTTCTTCTGCAGATTTATGGGCTGGTAAGAGAGTAATTGTTTTTCTTTTTTTCTTTTTTTTATACTAGCGTATGCCACAATAACTTAGGACGCTCAGCGTTCACTAGTTTGGTCAGCCATCCAGGTCTTAGAAAAAAGTTTTTCTAGATCTCGCTTTTTTTAAATTTATTTGGTTTACAATAAACCCTTAAGTATAAAGCGTCATCATTATGGCTTCATACTTACCAATGGTCATTTGAATTGCAGCAACATTGGACGACTACAGGCTCACAGAAGAGATGAACCGAGTCACGATAACAAAGTACAGCGACATGAAACAGATTGCGGGCAATGTGACGAGGGCCTTGAAAGATCTGAACGAAAAGTGTGAGTACTTTGAATGGACACGCCACCGTCACATTCCCCACCATCAGAATAGATCCTTCTTCGAAAGTGTATGCCATTTAGTAGCTGCTGCACCAATTATCCGAGCCTGCCATTGTTTGGGCACATACTCCCAGTATGTATTGGACATGTGGATTTTGTCGGCATCCGGTGTGAACTAGGCTCGGCTTTTATCGAAAACGAGCACTGCGTCAGCGTTTGGCAAGTGCTTGGATCCAATCGGACCCTTTGTGCCCAAGAAATGGCCACTGCCAATGTCGTTTGATGGACTCATGAAAGGTGTCTATGACTTGCTCCGAAAAACGTGCCTAATTCTATATTCAACCTCCCTCTCTTGGTGGTACTATAGATGTTTGCAAGTACGACCTCTGAGCGCTGCCATCTCGCTGCTGCCTGGTGTGGGTAGATCGTATGATAGTCAAGCATTGCTGAGGCATACCCATGGCCTCAGCCGTGCTCGACTATCAGACGACCTACCCACTCCAGCAGCAATATGGCGGCGGCCGGGAGGCCGTACTTGCAAACGTCTTATACTTTTACCTTACAATGGATTACGGAGGGTGCTTCGATCCATCAAAGTCAATCCAATGCCATGTGGGTGTCACGAAACCTTTGGGAGGCGTGTAGCGATGTACAGAGCATGCAGTCATGCGATACGATCACAGCGCTGGATTGGTTGCGATGGTTTGTAATGTCCGCTTCATCATAGGATGAAATGGAATATAGAAGACGGTTGTAGAAGGTATGTCTCAAGCTTCCTTTTTTAGTACACCCCTCCTAGGCTCTAAATAAATACATCTTTCTTGTCAAGCGGTTTCTTTTCATTTTGAGGCCGCTAACTGTGATGGCGACCACACACGTGAGAGTTATTGTAGTAACAGTGCACTGCTCTATTGTTATTTCTTTTCCTAGACAAGTGCCTCAAGCCATACTTGGATCAGATTGACCAGGTCGAAGACAGCGTGACGAAACTGGAACAAGCAGCCTACAAGTTGGATGCCTATTCCAAACGACTTGGTACTTTCACCGAAACATGTTCCATTTCCGACTTGTTTGCACTCATGCATTCTTTTTTTTTTTTTTTTTGTAGTCAAAACAATTTTTTTTTTGTCTGTTTTTTTCAGAGGCAAAGTTCAAGGCATTGGAGAAGCGCTGAGAGGTTGCAGGACCGCCATGCAAAGCTGTGGCATATGTATATTGTCTTCGAATGTACATAAATTTATATTGAGTCGGGAAATGTGTTGTTTGGCTCGTGCGTTTCCTCACGTTCAATAACGGCCATCACATGTTCTGTAATGGCCAATGGCCTCCCAACGTGAGGAAAACACATCAGAAGTAGGCAAGCCGAGCAAGCTGGCGATCGCAATACTCCTTGGAAGTCCGTCAGCCGGAGCGCCGATGCATCATCGTCACGGGGGTCGTCTCCTGCGTGCAGATCTGTTTACAGCGTTGAGAGGTTCGTGAAGGAATCCGGTGATCCGTAAGTAGTAAAACTTATCAGTGCCAAATCCTGAAGACGAGTACGGAAGCCAGGTAAGGTTACCTTGTAACTTGAAGAAGCTTACTCGATCGCTATGTAACCGGAGAACTCGTCCGTTGTGTGTTCCTTGCCTTTAACGGATTTCTTGTGGGATACTTCCTCTTGACGGTCCTCCACTTCCATACTGTAGCAACTGATACTGTGGATTCTGTCGTCTTATCTTGTCTGCGTATCGAAGCGCTGCTAAAGAATGTTTATATTTCGGTTTGACGTTTGAACTCCTGCAGTGAATTGCGTTTGCGTCGCCTACCGTATGAAAATAGAAGTGTTGCTGCGATGTAGTACACGCCCTTTTTTCGCCGGCCGGCCGGCGAGGTTCGCATCTTCGTATCGCACAGCGATATTTGTGTTATGGTATTCAAGCTCTTACTAATATACCGCCTTATCAGTGGTGCGACTTTGTATTGCGCTCGGGCGGTCGGGCCTGTGCGCAATACAAAGTTGCGCACAGGCCCGACCGCAGCACGTTTTTGTAACAAGCAATTTAATCGTTCTCAAAAAACAAACCGAAAAAATGCCGCCGCAGCTACACGTGACAACGTGTGCCGCGTTGTAACTTGTCACCTCACTTGCACCGATGACAAGAAGATATTCACATCAAGTGCGTTTTACTACTGATAGTGTTAAAAGCATTGCTTCTACAGTGCTAACTCAATACCGCGGAATAGCCCAGGTGCAGATATGGCAAGCGTAATGATCTCTTCTATGTAGCGTTTCGTAATTTTAGTCGCTGTCCAAATTGACTGTAGTAGCGTGCTGCACACAACTTTGCTTCGCTTCGCTTACTGTTAACAAGCGTCCCACCAATGTTTTCTTCCTTGCAGCTAGACATCAAACATGAGTTACCCGTACCCCACTGGTGGCAGTGGTAACCCCTACCCTCCTCAGCAAGACTACCCAGGCTACCCTCCCCAAGCAGGCATCTACCCCATGGGTGCAGTCTACACTGCAGCTCCTCTTGGAGGGCAGGCCCAAGCCCCTGGCTACTCTCCGTTAGCCCCGAGCCAAACCTACCCACAGTCGTCCGTCCCAGGCTACCCTAGCCAGCCAGGCTATCAAAGCCAACCAGGCTACCCTAGCCAACCTGGCTACCCAAGCCAAGCGGGTTACCCTAGTCAAGGCGGCTACCCTAGTCAGGGCGGCTATCCCCCTACGTCCTCTCCAGGATATCCGACAGCCAACCCTCCTCAGGGCTACCCCCAGTCTTCTAGTCCAGGGTACCCGGCGCCCAACCCCGGCCCGGGGTATCCGCAGTCCAACGCTGCATTTGGTTATCCATCTGCGGGGGCAGCGCCTCAGGTCTATCCAAATGTTTCTGGCCCGGGGTACCCATCCGGGGATGGGGGTGTGGCCTTCCAGCAGGTGACATCAGCCACAAGCTACTCCATGACTAACACCGCACCTCAGGGTTATCCCAGTTCAGCGTACCCGACAGCTCAGTCAGCAGGATATCCGAAGGGAAGCGGTTATTCTTCGGCCGGCGGCTTGAGTGCTTCGTCACCTTACTCCAAACCGAGAATGGCAGAGGTGAGTGCAACGTTTCATTCCAATCTCGTGGTCCCTCTTTTTTCAGTACTCTATCTACCATGCAAAGAGAAATCAGAAGAAACTGCCATGGAATATTGTCCTATTACAGTTGGCATTACAGAATATTGCATACTCCACTGAATTCAGGTTTTCTTATTTAAACAATTGTATTCCACTTTATTTTGTGCTTTTCAGTTTTTGAACTGGAATGACTGTATTATTGTTAAATAAATAAATGTGAAATCAAGTTTATATAATTTTAGTCGGATTTTTTTTTTTTTTTTTTGTCTTGTGTTTGGTCGGTGTTTTATTTTTCCTTGAGCTCAACAAGCCTAAACTGTTAAAAAGTGTGAAAAAAGAAAAAAAAAAAAAAGCCATAATACGATTTTGTTATTTTATAGTATCGAGGTTCGCGCCTATATTTAGCACAAATCGCAACCCGTGCGGTATATTCAGAAAGTTTGGAAGGCGGCCAGATTGCAGTAAGAGTAAATATCGACTGCGGACACCCCCCATTTCCCTCCGTTCCGCCAAGGCGATGGAAGAGAGGAAAACACGTAAAAATACACCAACGAAACTCACGCAAACTCGTTCCCTTTACGGCAACTGTCATCACGAGCTAATGCGAACGAAAACAACGCGATGACATTGAGCGAATCGTTTTTGTAGCGGCCCTCAGGTGCGTGTTTAGGAGGTTTGCAGAAGGTCGTCTGCTAGCCTAGCCGTTTGTTTTGAACGGCTTTCCTGCAAGACTTCCGTCTGCTCACTCGCCGCCATCTTTTGACCTGACGATCGGTTAGTCACTCCCGGAATCGCAGTAGGTGTGGTCGCTGCTTGGGCTCGTGTGTTTCGAGACGACGTCCGCTGGCTTCTTTCCTCTTCGACCGCGGGGTTTCCTAAGCTCCTTTTCGACTCGAAAGCATTCCATTCGTGAGTAAGATTTAATTTGCACCCTGTTTCGTTCGTTGCATTGCGTTTATGGGCTGTTTAAAGAACGCTCGCCATGCTACCTCGGCGCGTGCCGGGGTTCTGGATCAAAATTGTTTCGAAATTTTAATTATCAAGAAAAACCGCCGGTTGACGCCAGGGTCGTAATAGTGGCCCCAGGTTAAAGATACCGGGCTAGGATATTTGGCTAGGCCGCTTTGCATAAACTAGAAACGAGCATCGTTTGAATTCGAAGTTAATCCTATCCTAAAAGCCACGATGTTTCCTCCTCCACTGTGACACCATTGGAACTCGCCGCCGGTTAGGCATGTGTCCGATACACTGTCCGATAGCTTTCGCGGTCGGTGTTTGCCTGACGAAGCTTTTCACAGTGTTTGAATACGCAGCGGGAAAATAATTGCGTGTATCTCAGTGCTTCGCCTAGGCGTTTATTACCGCTAATTTAAGCGATAAGTAATATCTGCAGTAGGTCAATCTGGCAGTCACGTGGTGTACAATTGTTTGCATCCAGTTGCACTTGACTGCTCTTTATCCAAGATTTCTGACACTCGTCTCTCACCCATTTGCAGAGTCAAGGTGCTCCGAGGAACATGGTGAGTTTTTACAGCAATCTCTTTTATACTAACCACGGGACTTCGTTTTTTGTTTTGTTTTTCACTTTTTTTTTAGTGATATTTTTTTAGGTTGGATATTTATATGTAGGTGTAGGAACCATCTTTTAGGATATCATACGTGCTTGTGCTCGTGATAAAACTTTCTTCTTTTTTTTTCCCTCTCTTTCTCTGTTGTGCCATCTTTGCAGGCAAGCATAAAACCATACCCGGCGTTCAACCCGTCCGACGATGCTCAAGTCCTCCGCAAGGCCATGAAAGGCTTTGGTAGGTTTTGTTCTTCACGCTGAGCTTAGTGTTGAAGATGGGTTTTAGTAGTAAACTTTGGTGCTTTGGGAGTGCACTCTGTATACCAATCTCATCCAAAAGGTAGGTTTACACTTCATAAATGAATGTGATACAGTTGGTAGAGATGCTGAATTAAAATTTGCAGCTCACAAAACAAGGCAGGACGCTGCAAAACCCATAAACTTCACTCATACAGCCATATCTCTAATGAATGGCCGTATTTTCGGAACAGAAGTTCACAATTGAACACAGCCAACGATGCTGATGAGACGTGCGATGTCGCAATTCTCATTCCCTTTACTCTTCGCTTCGTTCCCACAAGCACGTGAGTCGAAGCGAGGCCGCTTCCCCTCATTCTCAACTGTTCGAAGGAAATTGGGACTTCCCATTCCTCGCTTGATCGTGCCTTTTCCAAAAATATGGCCATCCTTTGGGGATATCGATTAATGAGTGATGTTTTGGAAATCACAACGTCCTGTGCCTTATTTTGCGAAATACAAATTTTGGTTGAGCATTCCTTTAAATGGCAAGTGGATGGATTACGGTTAATCAGATAGGAAGTGTACCCCCACCCTTTCTCTAATCTGAAAAGAGCATACTTTCGTGCTGTTACTTACACAGCTAGTGTCAGCTCAAACTAGTCGACATTCCTGGCCCCGAACAGAATTTCTGTGTAGTTTCTTTATTCTTTTATGTTTCTGGTCATGCTTCAATCCAGGGATACCAAGCAGCAAAATAGCCACCATTATGTATATTTGAAAACCAAAGAGCTACAGCATAGGTTCACAAACGAGGTTCTTGGAAACCTGAGGCCATCTCCAGCACTCGCATTATTTTGTTTGGCTCTTCAGCTAATTAAGTTAATAATGTGTTTCAATTTAGACACAATTTAATCATATCTGATGAATACCTATCATCTTGATGCCTTTCCCGCAAGTCTTTGTATGATGGTCCATGAAGTTAACGAGTTCCAAAGCTATATCACTGCAAGATTGTTGAGAAGGTGCAGTAAATTTGTCACTCGCCTGTTCTTAAATTAGCCGAGTTCACCTAGGGGAAAAAAAAAAAAGACCTGAAACACTTGTGCTTGATATAGTAAAAGATAAGGCGAAGTGCCGATACCAGCATCTGGCATCCATGATATGCTATCGGTGACTTGTGCCCTTGTAGCAGGATGACAGTAGGGCACGCTTCAAGATAAAGTGTAAGTTTGAAATCTAAAATGTGTTGGAGGACAGTATAGGTTTTCAGCTTGACCTTACCCTACTTGTATTTTTCAAGTAATACTAACAACTCAAAATGTGGACTTTTTTAATGCGAAAGCATTAACTGTACCGTGGAGCGGGCTGACGTCGTCAGTTTGAAGTGCGAAAACGGCACCTAGTTTCCACAATCCCAATAGGAGCAAAGTAAAGTTGATGGATTTCACTTTCGGTTTCATTGGCTGGTGCGCGTCGACGGGGCTCTTGTTGGCTGCTGCGCTCGTCAGTTTCCACGACTGCTCACCCCATGGCGCTGCGTGTCCATCAGCGCGCCGTTAACACGGGGCGCTGATGGAGATGGAGACCATCAGCCCCGTTAACACGGGGCCCCGTTAACACGGGGCTGATGGTCTAAGGTCAGTGTGCCCAGAGGAGCACACGCGCCGACCGGCGACGAAAAGTATGCAGCAGACGAAAAAGGGAGCGGACGAGCGGCTTGCATGCTTTTGCATTCACAACTTATAAGAAGTGGTTCGATGTACTTCAAGCTTCTTTTTTTTTTTTTATGACACAGCATTGCTGTAAACATAAGTAAATCTTTTTTTTTTTTTTTTTCCATTGTGAAATTATTTGGGGGGTGGGAAGGTGGGGTCAAATAATTTTCAATAACAATCAAACACTCCCGCTGTGAACTCGCCCACCATCCATCTTGAATATTTTGTTCAAGCCCTGTAAAATGGAGGTGGGGTCTCCTAAGGGCCTGTGTCATTCACCCTTTGCTCGCATGCCGGGATAGTGGAATGTTGAGAGTTTCTCCTCCAGAAACAAGAAAATGGAAAGGGGGCGTTGACTTGACGGAGCTGCGTCCTGTTTACTCAGGCTGCTCTTGTTTCCTGTGAGAAATGAGTCCAGGAAGTTGACGCATTTTTAAGTTGGGGTACTGCATATGTTTGGGCAGCATCTTGCCGTAGGTGCGTGCAGGTGGTTAAGCACGGAACAAGCTGGTCGTGACAATAGTTTTGCATACTAACATCACGCTGCTGCATTCAGGTTTCTGAAAGTGCTAAGTGCTGAAAGCTTATTTCTAACATCACAATGAATTTAAATTCCAGCACTTTTCGGTAAAATGAAGACACGGACCGTAATCCTTTGAAAAATCTGCCATGCAATATCATTTAGAATCATCACTTCTCCCGATAGGTATGATGGTGAACAGTTTTTCCTCTACTGTCCATAGCTAAACATTGTATTAAGAACAGCTCAGTGCTTCTTATTCTTTTACTGCAGTCACTTGACAGCAGTTCATTTCTCTTAGATATAATGGGCGGTTTCATTTGGATTCAGGCAACGATGGCAGTCATAATTTTTATTTTGCTTCAAATTTTTATATTTTGTGGAGCATGTTCCAAGAAGAACAATCCTTTTTATTTTAATGTCCTGTCATGTTGTAGTTTCTGCGTAAAAAAAAAATCTGAAAGAAGCGGGAAAGAACGACGAGGTTTTGACGATTGTCGTGTGTGGCGTTTTTGAATCACTCTCTATCTCAAAGTATTCAAAAGAGAGCGTCTATATTTTTTTAGTGTGATATATATGAAAGTAGGTAAAACGACATAATAACTAGAAGGTGGTTTTAAAAGCGCAAAGGACTGGAGAAGAGAAGGAGCTCTGTCCTGTCCCCTCCTTCTCTTCTCAGTCCTTTGCGCTTTTAAAACCACCGTCTTGATGTTCAACCAACTAGCCCCCCAATTAATTCTGATGCGACATAATAACTACTATTTGTTATTCGTTGCTCCAATCTTTGTAAAAATCCCCAAACATTCCTCCACGAACTACTGTGACCTAAATTGCGGATATTTTTTTTTTGTCTACTATATTTAGTGTTGTTTTTAATATAATGCCACATGTAGAACCTCTCATTGCCTTCCAAATTGAGCAAAGTTTGTGACTTTATCATGTGCGAGTACTGAAAAATAAATTATGAAACAGTAGGTTTTCACTTTTTGTTAAATTTCAGCACGCTGTATAAAGAAAAAACATTTAATTTTTTTCTTGCGTCGTGTTTTTTTTACACCCTTCTTTTACCCAAAATACATTCCGTTAGAGGTATATGCACTGGTTTTGAGCTAAATATGTTAAAACATGATTCTGTTCTGTTATCAACATGAATTTCGCATTAAAAATATAAAATTTCGAAATATAAAACTCTAGGTTTCTAATAGGAAGTGTATTTTACTTTAATGTTTTACAATATTATACTTTGATATTTCTAGCATGGTGTAGATTATGTAGCGCATAGGGTTTAGGCTTGAGGCCTCTCCTATCATGGCACCGGCGGAAATTGTCTAAAAACCCACTTTTGGCAGTTGCGATTTTAGTGTTTAGACGTTTGGAATTGCAAACTTGTTATTGTATGCCTAACGACATCAATGTCTTTTATATGATTATTTATTAAACATCCCTTATATTATTATAATGAAGAATAAAACGTACAGCTATAACCCATAAACCCACCATCAGCATTTGCTCTTTTTTTAGCATATTTAGAGGCTTAAAACTCAAAACTAGTGCATATACCTCTAACGCAATGTATGCTGGCTAAAAGAAAAGTGCAAAAAAAAAACCAATGCAATAAAAATAAAAAAAAAATGTTTTTTTTTTACACACAGTGTTGAAATAGTACAAGAAGTGAAAACCTTCTCTGTTTCATAATTTATTTCTCAGTACTCCTATGTGATTACGCAGGGCCGTACCCAGAAAAAAATTTTGGGGGGGGTTTTCGGGGACAACGGCGGCCATTTTGAAAGTGTCTATTGTCTTATTTTCGCCTATGAATCATGTGCATCGGTGGCATATAATGGAGAGTTACAGCAAACCGGAGATCCGGTCCCGGATTGGTACCCGGTAGCCGACCGGCGCCACTGCGCGTGCGCAGAGGTGGAGATTAAAATCGGCTGGCTGCCAGTGCACCGAACAGGGCCGTACACAGAAAAAAAATTTCGGGGGGGGGGTCAGAACCCCCTATCCCCCCCCCTGGTTACGGCCCTGTGATTACGACACAACCTTTCCAAAAATGTGGAAGGCTATGCAAGGCTCTACACGTGGTATTATTTTAAAAACAGGACTAAATAACGGTCTAAAAAGAATCCGCAGTTTAGATCACAGTTGTTCGCGGAAGCATGTTTGGGGATTTCGACAAAGATTGGATCGACGAATAATAAATAGTAGTTGAAATGTCATTTTACCGACTTGCATATATATCACAATAAAAAAAATATAGAGGCTCTCTTTTGAATACTTTGAGATTGAGAGTGATTCAAAAACGCCACACACGACAACCATCGGCGCTTGCTCTTTTTTAGCATATTTAGAGGCTTAAAACTTAAAACCAGTGCAAATACCTCCAACGGAATGTATTCTGGGTAAAAGAAAAATGTAAAAGAATGCGACGCTAAAAAAAAAAAAATTTAAAATGTTTTTTTTTTTTATAGAGCGTGTTCAAATTGAACGAAAAGTGAGAACCTCCTCTGTTTCATAATTAATTTCTCAGTACTCGTACATGATAAAAACACGAACGCTTAATTTGGAAGGCAGTGAAAGGTTCTACATGTGGTATTTTTTTAAAAGCAAAACTAAACATAGGAAGCGAGCAAGCCGGCCGTGTCGCGGCGGTCGCCTATTGTTCGCCGCGACCTAGCGGTAGCCGCCGCAGGAGAATCGGGGAGCAATGGCGACGAACAGCACGGCGGCCAGTGTCCCCGTCGTGATTACAAAGGCATTTAAGGCAGTTACGAACTCGGAAAGTTCCTTCGGTAGCGAGTGCCGTCGGCGCAGAATCATTGGGAAGTAATAACAACGATCACCACAGAGGAGAGTGGGCGATTACGAATCCGGAAAGCTTCTTCGGTAGCCAGTGCAGAATCATCGGGGGGAAGCAATGGCGATGAGCAGCACAGCGGACAGTGTTCCCGGTGTGATTACGACGGGGTTTAAGGCGGTTACGAATCCAGAAAGCTTCTTCCGTGGTACCAATATGACGAAGGGAAAACTCCGTGAATCTGGCCGCGTGTACGACGTGAAGAAGGTCCGTTTCGACGGACAAGTGGATGTCACGGAGCGCCGTACACCGCTAACAAAATTAAGCGCGCCCGCAAAAAATGTAGTGGGCGTTGAGTGGACTGTGTTAATTATGTAGTACGTTTATTTCTGAATTAGCTTGACAATAACTGGGTGATTTTTTTCGCGCCGTTCCTCGATTCCCACTGTAGGTTGATGGAAACATCCAAGGGTAGGCTTAGGTGGGCGACCGCATTCCGCTTCTCGATTCCGGTGAAGTAGTTGCTGCATATTTTAGAGTTTGCCGTCGGTGTCGATGCTGTTCCATCGTAGCTAGAATAGAAAAAAAAATTAATTATATTATTCGTCAGTAGCTTAAACAAAGCGCGAACTGGAAGGTAAGAAACACCACTAACCTGTATGAACGCACAAGTCGCACCCAGATCGCGCAGTACTCCGCCTCATACGGCTTCGAAGGGACGATGTAGTACTACGTGCCGTGCGCGATCTTCGACGTACTGTTGCAGCCTACCACGCAGCGATTGTTGCGGCTTTCTTGGTGTGGAATAGCCATCTCAGAAATTACAGCGCTAACCCACTTCAACGCACAGCCAACGCAGCGACTGGCAGAAGCTCCCCGATACAATGGACCCGTTTGCCGCTAGGGGCGCCCTGGTCGGGGCTTGAATTAGATGCGCACGGTTCCTATAGTCAACTAAAAAAAAAAAATCTGCAATTCAGGTTACAGTTGTTTGCGGAGGCATGTTTGGGGATTTTTACAAAGGTTGGAGCGACAAATAATAAATAGTAGTTATGCCGTCTTACCTACGTTCATATATATCACACTAAAAAAAATGTAGACTCTCTCTTTTGAATACTTTGAGATAGGGAGTGATTCAGAAACACCACACACGACAATCGTCAAAGCCTCGTTGTACTTTCCCGCTTCTTTGAGAATTTTTTTCTCAGAAACTAAACATGTCAGGACATTAAAATAAAAAGGATTGTTCTTCTTGGAACATGTTTCACAAAATATAAAAATTTGAAGCAAAATAAAAAATACAACTGCCACTCGTTGCCTGGATCCAAATAAAACCGCCCATATATATATATATTTTTTTTTTTAACTTTTTTTTAAAGGGGGGTGAAGGCAATGAATTTATAAACTCGAAATTTGCTTGCACACATTTCAAAGTATGAACCTAGCTCTTGACTGGGACGTTTGCAACGCCATGTAAAACTGCTGCTTAAAAAAAAAAAAGAGAGAAAAAAAATGTTTCTGGAGCATGTGATTTGATGTGCAGCAGATGCAGATATATTTAATGGCTGTTCGGTTTGTGCGAGTGAAAGTTTCAGAGACATCGTCTTAAAGAGGAGGCCTTGTCCCGTCCTACGTTCAGGTACCGACGAAGCGGCCATCATTGCAATCCTGGGGGCGAGGACCAGCAGCCAGCGGCAGGCGATTCTGACCACCTACAAGCAGATGTTTGGGCGCGTGAGTCACCTCTTTGTCTCGTCACGATACAACGGACGCCGAGCGCGTCCCCTTCGCACCTGCGCGTGCGGCGGGGCGTGGCAGTTGGCTGTGCCAGGGCTTGTTTACGACTGCACGAGAGGTGGCATTCCTAGGGATGAGTTCCCAGCGTCGCTTTCGGTGCAGTAGGTGTGTGAAATGAGAGGAGAGGATGAGACGTGTTCTGGCTCATCGATTGCAATGCATGCAGTTGAAGCGAAATTGAATTTCGAGGGCTTATGTTCCCGTGACAATTAGAGACTCAAAATTGGTTGTGGTATCTATCTCTGTGGTATCCATCTCGTAATTTTATTAAACAGAACCGACTTTGAGATAAATGTTTCTTACTATCTTGTGTAACAGATGCGCATGCCTGAGAGACAGAGTGGAGTAGTCTATACTGTCTGTCCTCTAAAACAAATGTGAAAAGAATGGCTGTCAACTTTGTGCAATCAGCTTGGTAGCCCACTTTGATCTGAAAAACCCTATGATTAATCTTTTTTTTAATATTTAGTAAAAGTTTTGTCATCTTTTATAAATTCAGTTCCTTTGACCCTTTTTGACACATAGAAGACATTGAAAAAAGGTGGGAATTCTATACAAAGCCAGCACTTCAATCTCTACCCCACTTTGGATTGGATGAGAGAGGACCAGTTTAGGAGCTGGAGCATGCGTGCAATGCTTCGGGGTGACAGACGCTTCGGCTCGTTTGCCTCCCAGGACCTCGTTAAGGACTTGAAGTCTGAGCTGTCCGGGAAGTTTGAGGACGTGATAGTGGGGCTGATGACTCCGCTGCACGAGTTCCTCGCCTCGGAGCTCAAGTGGGCCCTCAAGGGGGCCGGCACAGACGAGGACTGCCTCATCGAGATCCTCTGCACCCGCAGCAACGCCGAGATCGCCGCCATCAAGGCGGCCTACCATGCCAGTGAGTCACTGCAGAGTTTTAGAATGGCGCACCCAGAACCTCCGCGTATGCAAAGACATGGCATCATTGCCAAGAGCCGATCCAAAGCACAGTTTGGCGCATGCACAGTGGCGGCAATGCTATCTTTGCGCACGCTAGAAAGCTTTTATGTATGCGGTTCTAAAATCCCTACTCTTGACCCTGCTGACGCTTTGGTGGGTCTTCCTTCACCTCGTGAAGCATATGGATTTTAAAGGGGCCCTGCAATCATATTTAAGCCTCCACCTTTTTTGTGGTTTCCACGTCTCTTGGGGTTCGGCCAAGCCAGCGAGCACGGAGAGAGTAACAAAATATCAGTGCGTCATATTTTAACCCGACGACAGGGAAACCTCCTACCCCTACAGGTGCGACCCGCGGTGCCAAAAGCGCGCGTAATGTGACGTCTTTGTTCCTGGGTTTACTACTGGTCAGAGCCACTAGAAGCTTCTTTTTGGTCAAAATACAAAATAGAAGTGGTGCGAGCCATTTCAATTATGAGAGTAGTTTTTGTTCACTATTTTAGAAAAGAGAAGAAGCAAATGCACTTTATAATGTATGGAAACAAGAAATGACCCGTCGACATACCTGCCACCAAGTGGTGGAAAAGGCGGCGCATACTAGAAAGGAGTAGTGGGATCAGGCGCCAATGGTGCCAACGAGCGACGAGCGAAGAAAGGTCCCGGATGTATGCAGCAGCGCTGCGGTCGTACGGACTGGAGGATCCGACCGGTTCTGAGCGTTCCCAAGGCCTTCGGCGAGCAGCTTTGGCATGTGGTTTGGCCTTTTGGCAATATGGCAGCGCGAAGTGGCTCTCGTTCTGAACTGATCTTTACGCCGTGTTTGCTGTCGGTTGTGGCCAATGAAGTGTCATGCCGAAGTAGTGTTTAATCGCACAGCAAATGCAATGTGAGCCGCTTTGGCTGCCCACTTCGTACAGCCTATCCAGAACATGCTTTAGTGGCGCCCTCTCGAGCCGTCAACACAGAGTGCGGCAGTTGTGACCCCTCGTCTAGTTCACGGTAACTCAAGCAACCAAGGACGTCGTGAAGGAGGTTATTTTTTGCTTGTTTTTGTAATTTTAATTTGCCTATAACTTCTAAAACAAAGCGAAATTCGAGAAAAGGAAAGTTTCATTAAGTTACTACGTTCAATGTGCTCAGATTCTTTGCAAATTAAAAACTAGTAAAAAAAAGTCCTTGCAGGGCCCCTTTAAGTATGGTGCCCGTAATGCGTCTCTGACCGGCGTTCTTACTGCCTCCTCATTGGCGGTCACCGAATTTCTGCCTCACGATGCGACGCTGTTGCCCGCCACAATGCTGGCGGTGGCACAGCTGCGGAGGTTGATGCAATAGATCCCCGTTCTACTGCCAGACAGTTCCCGGAAGCTTCGGCAGGCGGGAGTTGAAACGCCTCAAGGACGGCAACAAGCGTGTTCACTCGTGCGTTTTGCCAGAACTTCTACAACCAACCACCATGATCGCATGGGTAAAATTAAAGTGGCAAAGAAACGAGGAAGGGGGGAAGGGTGACCTCCCCCTTTTTTTAATGAAAAAAGAAATTGACATAGACCAGCCAAAAGTTCAGGTTTTGGTGACATAGCAAATATTGGGTCAACAAAACGTACACCCCCTCTCTGCCCTTCCGCCCCCTCCACCAGCCAAAGGATTGTGGTATGTGACATCATGACAAGCCAACTTCCGTGACATACTTTTTTGCCGCTTCGGCACCACTTCCGACGCACGGGCGGTATGGGACACTAAATGTGCCGGCCGAAGGCGCGTTCCTGGCACCGTAGTTCCAAGTAGTAACTTGTGGCCGATTCTGACGAGGCTGCGCGGCAATATTTTTACGACTTAAGCTTCTCTCTGGCTAGAGCAAAGGCTCCAAGCCTGCGCGAGCCCTTCATTTTAAAAATGTGACCTTAACTCCCCAGAGCTCGTAACTCTTCACGAAGTGGAGGGGTCGGCACTTGTGCTTGCAGCTTTCTCTCCCACTATACAGAAGGCATCGAGGAAGGATGTGTACCATGGTTTCTTCCTCAGTTACAATGCAAACAATAAAATGGCGTTTTGGCGAATTTTTTTCCCTGATCTGTTATAATAACTTCGCTATGTTGTGAGGGTATTGACTGGCTTATAGTTGATTAAATTAGATTTCTTAGTTTTATATAATGGGAATGTACACATTGCCAATAAATTCTATCTGTCTCGAGATTTGAAACAATCTTTCCAAGATTTCCACGTGCGACATGGACAAAGAGGCTATCTTATTATAATGCGGGGAATGATGTTTAGACTTGTTAAGCATATCCAGAAGAAGCCACACTGCAAGCAATTTTTAGACTTTGTACACAAAAGAAAATTGAGAAAGTTGACCTGTTACGGAAAATGTGGAGCGAAGGGATCTCTTTTTTTTTTGTTTTCTGCTGGTGCTTGTACTTGATATGCAAGGCCTGCATAGCCATGCAATAAGAGGCACATGGTTGACAGGTGTGCACCAATCATTTGCTTGTATTTCAGAGTATGGCAAGGATCTTGAAAGCGCCATTCGTGGCGACACCTCTGGAGATTTCCAACGTATCCTCGTCTCGATGTGTACCGTAAGTGTTTTTCGTGATCCACCCATTCTCCTATTCCAAATCCTTTGTTTAACCCTTTCCACAGGACCTCTTGAGGTCGGACAAAGCTTCAGTTGGGCTTTGCTCTGTAATCAGTGCACTGTACACCACCGTTGGGCGAGTTCCCGAGTTTTATAGAACACTCGCGTCTGCCATAGAAGTTCGCGATTTCATTTCGAGCGCCTTTTATGATGGTCATGAAGGACTGAGTTGCTTCTCGTGGCTACTGCCACAATTTCGGGCAACAGGATTTCAATAATTCGCTGCGTGCGCCACCAGAATGCGCGAGTCTCTAGCGGAACAACAGATTACCGTATTTTCCAATCTACAAGTTGCACTGTTTTTCTTTTTTCCCCAAATTTCAGTTGGTGCATTTATACAACAGCGGGACTTGTACACATTTTGTTTTCTTTATTTATAAATATCAATTTTAGCCAAGCAAGATATAGGCTGTAGCAACATTTACGACAAAGGAGAAACGGCGGAACACCCGCCGACGCTTTTTCGGGTGGTCGAAAGACACTCTGCAGCGCTGCGGTCTGTGGCTACTGCCCGCCTGCCAACCTTCAAAGCGCTTCGCAACTATGTACGACTTATGCACTGACTCTTTCGCGAAAGCAGCCGTTCATAAGAGGACGAGACTTACGGAACGGTGAAATTTATAGACCAGAAAATACCGTAGTTTGCTTTTGTTTGTGTGTTAGCCATTCTTAAAATCTTTGAAAATTAGGTAGCTGCAGTGTCCGTGGCAGGTGCTCTCCTCACATAAAAACAGCAAAAAGAAGGAAAAAAATAAAAAAGAAAAAAGCTAGCGTCGGCAAAGAGGGAGTTACCAGTTCTGTTATTTCCTTCCCAAACAGTGTGCCCGACAGGAGGGAGCACCGCTGGATCAAGCCAGGGCTGCACAAGACGCGCGTGTGAGTATCAGCGTTTGGCGCACAGTTTGGAGAAAAGTCCCAAAAACTAGGGCGCCCGGTGCACGTCCCCAACTGGTGCGTCTGGCATCCCATGCCCCTCCCACGTGTCAAAAGCAGTCACAAAGCAGCAGCAAATGATATCGCAAAAGCCAGACTTCCGTGCCATCGGATGTTGCGATCCTGGCAGTCGGCTGTAGAGGTTGCGGCAAAAAGCGCCAGCAAAGGCGAGTTTTGCCGTCGTCACAGTTTCCCGACTCCCGGCTGCCAAAGCTTCCGCGGACTGTAAACCGGCCGAACGAGCATCTGTCACGTCTACCACCACTGCCGTGACGCCGTCGGCAACGTTGCGACACTTGTATGACATCATTGGGTGGAAATCGAGAGATCACTCGGTTTCCGCCCGATAAGGGACTGGTCGGAGACTCGTTCCAGGCATCGCAGAAAGTTTCATTACACTGCGTAGTAGTTAAGTTTTTATAAATTATTTTCAGAGATTGGTGCTAAAAATTATTAACAATCTTTCTTCCTTTTTTTTTTAATTTTTTTTTTTTTTTTTTATTTTAGTTTTTGGTTTGGTTAGGCAAATAATAATGTGCTCTCGTTGCCTCAGTATTTAAGAACTCGAAACATTTTTTCTAAAATATTTGTGCACTTGACTGCAAAATGAGTATGTCCTTGCGTGTTTTTGCTTGTTTCCATCTCAAATTTATGTAAACTTACCCATCTGTCGGTCTTTTATGCCATTGCGGATAAAGGGCAGAACATCCCGAATGCGGTAGGCACGCGCTGGTGTCGTCGTAGTATCTTTAGATGGCGGTACTGTACCCGACGCGTTAGTGGATGGAAGTTTGTCAGAAACCCGAACAACTTATCCTAATGTGCGACACAAGCGACTACTCCAATTCACCTTGCAATGGGCCAGAACAAACGCTACATGCCGTCCCGGCTAATCCAGCAGTGTGTACATGTCGCGCGACTTTGCACCTCTCTTTCCTCTGCGCCCCGCAAGAAGGTCTCGCGGCACTCTCCGTTTGAATGGTTCCAACGGCTCATGACGTTCGGTGCAGTCCATCGCAAGGTGAAACGGAGTATAGATGTGTTCTCGAACAGACCGGACTACCATATTTGTTCGAAAACAGGTTGACCTCTTTACGAACAACGCCTGCGCGTGTACATCTCTGCAGCGCTCGAGCTCGAGAAGAGCCAACCGTTGTGATTTACGGAAGAGGTCCAGCAAAGGATGAGGCACCAATAACATCAGTATGCAGAAGAGAGAGCTCTGTGGATAACACTTTTTGTTATTGGTCCTGCGGGAAAGTAGACACGCAGGTTCGTTTGTTAAAAGGTCGGTCTATTTTTTGAATAAATACGGTAAACCTTTAATGAAGCTGTAGTTGCATCTCTTCGCTTAGTTTCCAGCGTGGCCTGACAATGTCTGTTATTTGCAGAGACTTTACGATGCTGGCGTAGCGAAGATGGGCACGGACGAGTCCACCTTCAACGCGATTCTCGCCTCGCAAAGCTTCGACCAGCTGCGCCTAGTTTTCCGTGAATATGCACGCCTTGCTGACCATGACATTATGGATGCCATCAAGAAAGAGATGTCCGGAAACTTCAAGTCTGCCCTGCTCACCATCGGTGAGCAAGCGTTGGGTTTTCGCCCAGGGGGGGTGCCGTCGGGGCTGTGGCACCACAAACACCTTTGAGGCTATTCAGGAATTTAGTCAAGCAGTCGTACAACTTGGTATGCGTATCAAATTGGATAATTGCTATAAAACACATAAGCCGCGTTTACATGAATGTGACTTAGCGCATCGACTCCAATCATCCTTCAAATGAAGCTGACACGGCAACATTTACATGAATGCGTGCCAAGCCCTACGCAAAGGTGGCGCCATGCCTTGTCAAAGCCCAAAGTTAAAGCTTCGTTTCCCGCACCATGTGACCACGTTCTCCGGTGCATCGCATGTGAAGGCCCTTTGAAGCTTTCGACAAGCGTAAAGATTGTCCCCGTTGCTGTACAAGAAGTTATGAAACGGAGCAAACATCAAAACACAAGCAATTTGGCCTGTGGCCCGATGTGCGTGCGCACACCCTGGCGAGCGAGATCGTTCCCAGCCTCTCAGAGGATGCCACTGCGCTTTGCCTCGCCAAACCTCGCCAACCGCGATCGAACCCCAAGGCTGAAAGGCACCGGCACAGCCAGGAACGTCACCGAGGTAGGAGCTGCTCGTTCTGCGCTACCATGCAGTGCTTGGAGCTCTCGGCGTTGTTTGTGTTTGTGCCGAAGCCTCTAGGGACTTCCTCAGACGCTCAAGTCGTGCTTTGCGAGGCCTGGATGGGGACCGCCCTTACCGAGCAGATGAGCTATATTCTGCTCACTTATGATGGCAATAGAAGCTTGCATTTCTTCTCGGGAGAGAACTGCTGGCGACCACACGAGATGCTCCACCACAGCCACAGAGGCTGGCTGCCACCATGTTCTCGGCTGTTCAATTGCTCCTGTACTGAGTGCCTCCCCATAATCTTCCCTGTTTCAAAATGCAATGCAATCTGTTTACATGGGCTGAATGAATGCGCATTTGCCATCTTGATCCACCTCTGCGTGGCAACTTGATATGCGGTGCACTTCCCTAGCGCATTATGCCAATTACATGACCACATTGAACGTGACAACTGGATTCGATGCGTCTAAGTCACATTGATGTACACTTGGCTATAATCTCTTTAGATTTGAAGAAAAAAAAGATTTGATTCTTGACCAAAGTTGGGAACGAGCTTTTTTCACTTGACAATGGTATCTTGCGTGTATAAACGATGATGAAATGTGAAATTGGTCTTTGATTATTTGTCAACGAAACGGTAATACTGTTGAGCCCGGTTATAACGAAGTCGGTTATAACGAAATAGCGGTTACAGCGAAGCGATCACAGTTTCCCATTCTCTTTTACACTTCATTAACCGAAGTCGGTTATAACAAAATAGCGGATATAGCGAAGTGATTTCCGATTCTCGTTAATTTCATTATAACTGGTCTCGACAGTAACAATGTTGTGACGATTATTTCTAAATATGAATCTCATTTTATAATTGAACATGCTGTCTGCCATATGCTCAAATAAAAATAAGGGCTTTTGTCACTACATTATTTGTTGTAGATAAATTAGGCTTTTGACATAACATTTTAATAATGCACAAGCTGGGTAAAAATTTTCTTAATTTTGTTTTATGCTTTGTATCTAGACTTCTCAAATAACAATCTGCCTTTCTTCTTGATGCTGCTGTCAAATCTCCTAAATCTAGGCACCACGATTAAGTTCCATCCATTACGTGACCACTATTTTTAAATTGTTTACCTGTTGTGCTGTAATATATTATGTTAGGCCTAGAGTTGTACAACAGAGAAGTACTGATTCAAAAAGGGACATATTGCCGTCTTCTCACTGAGGCTAGTGGGAGCCACCTTCGCTGTGAGCAGCAAGGAAAAGAAAACTTAGTTATGAAGTCACTAGCCACTAGATGGCAGCAGGTCCCCTATTGAGGTACTGCAAAAAGAGCTGAGCAGCTGACCATGGCTCGTGTACTGGATCAGTACATGAGGATAATGATCTGTCGAAAAGAGTGGCCAACCCTGAGAGGAGTACCTTGGTCGTCGTTCAGAAAGTTGAGAATTAAGGCTTTTCTTTGTGGGTATACCTACGGAGTACATTAGACACTTCTTTTGTTAGCTTCTGTTTATCCACCCTGTTACCTTTTTACGATTGTTCCTTTTCTTTTCAGTGAAATCTGTCTACAACACTGAGCTGTACTTTGCTGAGAAGCTTCATAATGCCATGAAGGTAGGTCGCTCTCTTTCTCGTAAAGTTGTGTCTTGTATAGCTGGAATGTGGAAATTCAGTTTTGACGTGAACAGACTTGTGGGTTAGTTGCAAAGTTGTATTCCAAATGTGAAGTCATGACTAGGACAGCAATATTTTCAAAGTTACTACTGCATTGAGGTCTTTACACCAAGACTTTAGTGTCAAAACTTCTGGGTGTGAAAGACATGACGCATACTAGCACTTCCCGCACTAATGTCGCATTTCTTCTGCGTGCAGGGCGCTGGCACAGACGACAAGACCCTGATCCGTGTGATTGTGAGCCGCTGCGAGATTGACATGGCCGTCATTAAGCAGGAGTTTGCCCGGGCCTACGGCAAGAGCCTGGAGGAGGCCATCAAGGTAAAGAGCTTTGGAAAATGGGGACAGTCTGGAAACCGTAGAGCCAGTAAATTCTACGCTTGTACAAGTGGAATATTGACGCTTTGAGTGTCTGGTTCTTCCCCCCCTTTTTCCACCCGTAAGGACCCACTATTTTATAGGCAAAAAGTTATCCGATGTTTACGTGTCTTCAACCAATGATATATTCCTCGTATTGTCCTCAAGCATGGCACTGAAAGGGTTAAGGCTGGCTCACATCGGCATTTGAGTGTAATCAAGTGCATTGTAACTGCTTGTGGTGGCAGATTCACAAGACAGAGTCGGGATCAGGGTGTAAGATAGACAGGTGGGGAAACGGCCCATAGAAGCCTACCGCAGCACCCTGACCGGTTTCTGTACTCGTCTGCTTGCGGGTACCGCCGATTTGCGACAGATGGCGCTGCGGCGAGAAGAAAAAAGTCTGAATCAAATTTGCATGGAACTCTATGGGAGAGTGCCCAAAATAAACCGAGAACACGACAGTCCTCCATTGAAAATCCATGAGAAACCATCTCCGTCAGTTTAGCGGGTCGCCACCGGTCGGTCACCCACCCGGAGCGAGAGTTCGCGGTGCTCCACATAGATGGCGCCACAGAAAAAGAGAAAACCGAAAGGGACACAATCCGGTCGCTCATTTGGCTTTCGTTTCCCCACCTGTCTATCTTACACCTTGGTCGGGATTTTTCGTCCGCGGCCCGTTCATCGTGTGACCATTACGTTACAGAGTTCTGCAACCTGTACCTCGTCCGCGGACGCACACACTGAAATAGACGAGTGCCTTCTCGCTCGCGGGGTCTGGCAACAGCACACCATTTCCTTTGTTTTCTTATTTTCGGATAGGCCGAACAAAAGCGGCGCATCATTGTTTTGTTTTTTCGTTCACTGGTTCGTTTTGTCGCACGATTCTCGGTTTCATGTGTGAAAGAAGCTGCAAAAATTTTGGCCGAATGATGCGCCACAGGTTCGGTACACCTTTGGGTCCGTGTCGGGAAGTAATTCCGTCAAAACTCTTCTAGCCCACCGCAATCTTTTTCTTCACGTCCAGCCGCAACGCACCGAAGTGTCACGAGCGTTAGATGCGTGAAGGAAGGCATCTCCAAATGCTTCTTCGCGAGACCGGGACTTCTTCGCTTCAACACCGAAGCATCCTCATACAGCACCACACTTGTGTCATGCCTTGGGTTAGGAAAGTAGGTGGAACTTCGCGCTAAGCTTTTCACGGTGTTCAGTCTTGCTCAGCACATAACAGCGGCTCGCGAGGATTCTTCTTCGCAATGGCGCTGTGACCGTGGCGGCAAATGTCGCTTTCGCTCCCAGAGAACGGTGCCACAGTGCGATGTTGGTTCGTGGCACTGTGAGGTCACAAACAGGCTCGGTTCATCCTTGCTGTCGTCCGCTCCTCGTCTCCCCCGTGTGGATTCTCCCAAGAGACGGACAATCTGCGGGTGTGTCAACACATCATCGAGCCGTCCGTGGATCAGTCTGTCGTCAGCCATAACCGAAATAACCCCAGGCGCTGTCTACCAGGTCGACCTCAAACCACAAATAACTAAACTGAGATTTCACGGTGTTTGCTAGACTAAGGTCCCACACTATCTACGAGAGACGTTTGTTCGTAACATTGTCAGACATACATCGAGTGGATGGTGAAAGGATGCATAAAAAAAAAGGGGGAATTGTATTAGCGGATTGGAAGATTTCCAGGCTTGCTTGACAGATGGCAGCATTGGCGTAGTCTCGCTGTAAGCAGCCATGAGCAGTTGCTCTGTACCAAGTCGCGTTCAAATGAATATGTGCGGACCAGTAGAGTGAACCAGTTAGGATAAGTTGGACCCTGCTGATAACAAGTTTCAAATCAAATTTGGTGGTGTGTGCAAACATTTTTTGGGGGTACTAAAAAGATGGTGGGTCGGACATCGTATTTTACGCAAGTTTGCAACGTCAAAAAGTGTATGGATGAAGAAAGAATAAACAATTAAAACAGGGACAACACAACTACATCTTTCATGAAAGATGTAGTTGTGTTGTCCCTGTTTTAATTGTTTATTCTTTCTTCATCCATGACTTAAACCAACACGCTCTTCTACTAAGCATAAAAAAGTGTAAGAGGTTTGTTAGAAAAGAGTGTACAAAATCGTTTTTCTCGGTTGCTGGTAGACTTCGGTGGCATTTGGCGTGCAGACGAATTTCTTTCACTGTATTGGCAGTTGAATTGCAAGTGTTTCCGCAAGTAAAAGTAGCCCAATAAATTTTCAGTTTATATTTTAAAAAAAAGGAAAGAAAAAAACGAATGTGTATGGTACAAATTAATATGTTATGTCTCAAATACTCTTGTCAGAAAAAAACAAAACAAAAAAAAAACATTTATATGCATGATTTTGTCTGCAAAGCATTAGGCTATTTGTAGTTATAAATTACCAGTTATAAACCCTCTCATATTTTAGCCAATTTGCATCTATTCTTTTTTTTAAATATACTTGGCTGCACCATTACTATTTTGGGTCAAAAGGACCCTGCTGTTTGCTGCCCATTTAACTTTTATTTGTGTGTTCCTCGCCTGTATTAACTTTGGAGAAAGAGCACTTCACTACATCCTCTTGCTGCCCCAGTATAATAAAAATTTAGAAGCATGAAATAAATATGAGTATGCTTCATTGCCTTAATCCAAATGAAACTTGTAATGTGTTGTTGCATTATTTACTCTTATGGCTTTCACAATACTTTTTTTTTTTTTTCTTTTTTTAACAGGGCGACACATCTGGCGATTATCGAAAGGTCCTGATTGCTCTCGTCTCTGGAAACTGAGCCTCGAGGGACTTTAACCGGAAACTGCTCTCACGACGTCTCGATAATGCAAAGTTGTTTATCGCTGTTTTGTTTGTGGTGATGGTAAAGCTTTAAATGCCCTCTTAGCTGTCTTTTTTGTTGTTTGTTTTTGGGTCTGGCAGTTTGCATTTAGGATGTGCACATCTACAACGGCAATTTGTACTCAATCTCACTTTTGATTCCAGTTTTGTTTCTCTCTCCTCGCTTGTTACAAACGTAAAAGAAATCTAAAATTGTTAAGGGCGCCACGTTCTACTGCTTGAGGTTGCAACGATACTTAACTTTTTTTATGTCTAGAAGCAAGTTTGCCACATTTCTAAAGGAACAAAATGATGCTTTAAATGTAACCAGTACACTTCCTCTAGGGAGTGCACATTGCTCATGGATAAAATAATAGTGTCAAATTTTATCTTAGAGGTCAATTCAGGAGTCCATGACTGTGTCGTTTGTGCACCGGTTGTGCTGCCAACGTAAATCGCCAAATGCATTGGGACCAGGATCCAGAATTAATTCAGCTGATTGTCCACTGGTTGATCATTGTTAAGGTGGATTATCAGATTCCTTGTTTTGCTTTGAGATGTTCACATTTCACAACTTTTGAATGAGCCTAACAATTCCTTCCAATTTGGTTATATTAAGAAAAAAAATTGAATCTTAATTTTGTGTAATATTTAACATTCACTAAAGGATAAAGGTTTGGGAAAATCCAAAAAATATTTCTCAACAAAAGCTTTATTCCAATCTAATCTTTTCAGTTTAAGGAAGTTGAAAGAGTCCCATTATAAGCGTCGAAGTCATGGAATTTTAATTTCCCATAAAGGTTTTGGGAATTTAGATGCCAAACAAACGACAGGGCATCTGGCAAACCCCAGTGAAGAACTAAAGATTTGATATTGCAGTCTTTTCCGCAATGAGAAAATTTCCTCTAGGTGTTGGAGACACCCTTTATGTTCTCTTTTTTGTTTAGCATGTTATTGTTGTGACTTGAGCTTTATATAGAGTTTTTATGCAGATACTATATACACAAATATATATATATATATAAGTACATGAGACATTATGCCATGGTTAGACCTTGGTTGTCCGGTGCGCGGTGTGAAATCCCGGTGATTCTGTTGAATCAGTTCTTGTGTGAGGCGTTTCCGAAACCCTCGCCCAAGCTAACACACCCTTTATCTGTTTTAACGGTGCAGCGTTATGTTGTGCTTCGTTATTTTGTGCTTCGTGTATCCGTGGTTCTGTTGTTCGAATACTATGTCTTTTCCTTTTCTGTTGCCGACCCTGTTGCAGAGATATATAAAGAGAGATCCCTATCTCGGCTGATTGCTGTATCATTTCTGATAGTCAAGGCTCGCGTTAGTTGGTGGAAGTAAGCACTTTATTCTCACACTCACTTTGCTTGCATCACAATTTAAGTTTTGTTTTCGCTTCGAAGCGCCTGTGCCTAGGGCTCGGAAGAACGGACCGCTCATGCTTGGGAACGGGGCTTCACTGGAAGAGCACGCACTTCTAGATGCTGCTTTCTTTAGCATTCTAGCCGTTGTTCCGCGGGGCCCTAGGCACAGGCAAGTCCCAAGGACACTTGTCCACGGCGTCTCGATACAGGTGATATTCGAACTCGCGAAACACTGACTGCGCGCACCACGTTCGAATAGCAGTTCTATTGTGAGGCCACGCGTGGCAACAAAGTCCCTTTGGGATGGAACAAACAGCTCTGATAGCAAGCACCAAAAGCGGATACCGGCAGTCTGTAAGAGCCGTTCCCGAAATAGGACGACCTGAGAGCGATGATGTCTATCTGGCAGCAAAAAGTGGACCCGGACGTTGGGACTAAAAGATTGGAATGCGGGGGTGCAATTCGACAAAGGCCGATTTAGGAGATTGGCAACTGTTTTGCCTCCCCACTGCCAACGTCCTCTTAGTATTTCAGTGCACTGACATCTGCACTCGCTTGCCTTTGTAGTGCAGGGCTTGAGAGCTCTAGTGCATCTTAGGTTTAGTGCCTTTCAGAGCTCTATTTTAAGCAAAACGCTAGCTGCGGAGATTACTAGACCTGGCTTGCAAACAAGCTTCTCAGTGCGGAGTTTCTGGGACGTAGACGGAGGTATCGGAATGTGTCCGGTGTTGGCCCCTGGCCTGTGTAGCAACAAGCCTGTCGCTTTGTAGTTGTGTGGTAACAGTTGTGCTGTGTGCTTTAGACGTTCAGGCACATTTGGTGAGATAGCTAAGCTAGTCTGGTCACAACGGTGAAGGTGAATGGATCGGGGCATGGTCGCGGTGTCTGCTCTTGGTGTGTTCGGTCAGTTTTGAATTTAATCATTGAAGGATGTTTTATTGTCTTTTTTTCAGCAGTTCTGTTAAACAAAGGTTATATACATCGATGGTTTACTACAGTTGAGTTTGAATAATCTTGCGGTTTTATCCAGTGAGGTATGGAGGTGCTCGTATACCTTTTTTAAACCACTTTACAGATGACTAATGTAGCCAAATTATGTTTTATTGGCAACTTTTGTCTACAACTTCATGAGCTAGTAATTTACCTGTCGATTTCAAAATTTGTCATTGATTTTGCTTTGAACAAGGTTTCATGAAGCAGGTGTCAGCAGAATGTATTTTTACAAAAATAATTATGCAAATCGATGCAAAAATGTCCACCTTTACAAATTTACTACTGTTATAGTGATTTTGAGACACTGTCGTGCATGTTCATGAACTCCGAAAGCCATTTTACCGTTTGTATTTGCATGTAATTTTTGACTGTTTACCAGTGGTGTTTTTCTTTTGTCAGAACATGGTACTACTATTTTAGAGCTGTCTGTTGATTGTAACCTACTAACACGCACATTAAAGTATATTAACGCAAAGCGTCCGATTTGTTTTGTTGTTGTTTGATGCATTTGACTGTTGGATGCATAAAGGGTCAACTGTATCACAGTGCCACTTGTCAGAAAATCACGTACTGGTGCTAGTGCCATTGGAGCATTTTAGATGCTCATATTTTCTCCAGATTTCCAAAGTTGGGTGTGTGCACAGCTGGATAGCGCCACAAAAAGGGCATATCTAACCCACTAATTTCACAAACCAGAATGCATTCAGCAGAGTCATTTTGCAACGTTATGCGATAAACAATATAACTTCCAGCCTTTCCACTCTGGTGAAGAAGGAAAGACCAGCAAAGTTGTACTATGATGGAAATGAAGTAATTGCCGGCCGCGAGTCGGAAAGCCGAAGTGGAAAGGCCTGTAAATGTTGCCGCCATCCGTAGACGCTTTACAGGCACGCCAGATTACAGGCGCCATTGCTGACCTTGTCGTGTCTTACCCCGATGCCTGCCGAGCCAGTGAAGCGGCTGTTGCCGAGCTTCCACAAAGGCCAATGCTAGGGAGAAGGATACAGTAGAATCTAAAATGGCAACAACCTGCCCTACTGTAATAGCGATGAAGTAGACATAAGAGGAAAAGAAATTTTAAAATCGGTTATGGCGGCGTCCATGCACAGCTGCTGCAAAGCGTCTATAAGCGACGGCGGTAGCTGTCCGGAGTGCTGTGTCGACAGTAATTTGCTGCCGAACACCATCCTGGGGAAACTAAACCTTAAAAACACAGCTGTAAAAAAAAAAAAAAAAAAAAATGCAATCAACCGCACAGTGTGCTTTGATTGACAGCGGCAACAGTCGCGTTTTTTGAAAGATGTTTGATGATGATGCTATTAAATGCAAAGGTGCAAGCGAGCTGGACAAGAATGACGAAAATAATTCTTGGCTGTGTTTGGAGATTTGTGTTTTTCCGTTGTCCCCCTTGTTCCCCTTCTCCGGGGATTATTTTTGTCATTCAGGGCGAGAAAAAGGAAAGTAGGAGAGGAGGAAATGGACGCAACGCTGTTGAGGGGTGGAGAAAACCCCGTCGCCAGAGTTACGTCAAATACTTTAGTAAAGTATTTGGTTTTCTCGTGCCGCTGCCGGGTACAACTCGTCGAAAGCAAGTTCTCAACGGCAAGTATGACTGCTCACACAGGATTTTAAGGAACGTCTTCCGCGAATGACGACGTACGAGTAGAAAACGTGTCTAGCACGCTGCCGCCAGCCTCTGCAACGCCTATAAAACGGAAAAAGGAAAACAAAAAAAACATAAAAAGGGGGGGGGGGGGGGGATAAACACACATAAAAAAAAAATACTAGAAACATAACATCAGGTGTTGAGCAGTGCTGCATTAAAAAAACAAAATAATTGCAGAAGAATATGATGTGAATAAAATACAAAAATTTGAAATGGGAAATTATAGCAATATACGAAACAAGGTGAGGTCATATCAAACGCCAGGTCGTTCCAGTCTATGCTGGTCTGCGGGAAGAAAGATTGGTTAGAGTCATTAGTGCGACAGGTGATTCGCGACACATGGCATTAGTGGTTTAGACCTTACGATGATCTAGGAGGAAGAAGGAAAGAGTGGAGTCTTGTGCGAGAATGGTAAGCTTTATAAAATAAACTTAAACGTGTTATTTTACGACGTACTTTGAGAGTTTGAATATTCAGCTGGCGCTTAAAGGGTAACTGCAAAGAAAAAAAAGTTTTTTTTTAAACAGCCTAATTGGGACAAGCATGTCACAAAACAAATGTTCCGCGAAAAAAAAACACTTTTTTTTTTTTATCAATATTTACGCCACAGGACGTAATTTAGTAGAGTCAGAATTTCTCCACATTTGAAACTCCCGCGCTTTCGACCCCCGCGGAAGAGGAGTACGCCCCGCCCCTCACTCTCCTTGCGTTGCGGAGTTGAACCGTTGAACGACGCAGCGTCTCGACTTCCGGCAAGATCTGGCAACCACGCCAGGCCGTGGTATTTTTTTGGTTTGACGCGGTTTGCGAGCACATGCAGCGACGACGTGACCGGAGAAGTGCCCCTGTGATGTTCCCGGAAGATGGAAAGTATCGTTCGTAATCGTCGTGCGCGCTTTCAAAGCGAAGGGAGTCACATAATCCACGAGTGCGCAACCACAAGCCAAGGTTCACGACAGCGCTGCGTTGGTTTCGGCGATCTCGTTCCGTTTGGTGCAACGCGGCGATGAGACAGAGCTGAAACGTTTGTGGTGTGTGTAATGCGGTGCTAACACGGAGCGCAAATTGGTTGTTGTGGGGTTGACGTTCAACCAGTTAAGTCCCGTCGTCGTCAGCTGATCCAGTCAAACTGGTCCGGGAGGACGCTGGGAGCGTTCTTAAAAGTAAATCTGCCTCGTTCTGTTTCAAAATGTGGAAGTTTCCCGACGCATTCCGTGAGTAAAAAGCTGCGGGCGTTTTCAACAAAATTACTACGTTTTAATTGAACAATGGACTCCGCATTGTTGTCCTAAATCTGCCGTTTTTATGCTTCGTGTTGGACTGCGTTTGCACAGCGACGTGTTGCATCGTGCGGTGTGAATAAATTTGGGCACGATTTCGTACCTGCCTACAGATGCATGAACTGAGACCATTTTTATGTAGTGGACATAGTGCTTTTTTTATTTTCTGTCTAGTCGCGGACGTTAGGTGCACACGGGGCGAATCTCGACGGCCTCCAGAGCGATATGACGAGAACGTAACTGGACACGTTTGTCGCTACGCGAACGCCCGATTGCCTCCACCCAAATAGCATTCCTTTCGGGGCGACATGGCTGCTGGAAGGCTCACTGTCGGGATCACGCATCTAACATCTCCGAAAAGTCAGCATTTGCACGCACAAACAAGAAAAAAAAAAAAAGCACGCTAAGCAAGCAAAGAGGAAAACGAAAGAACCGCGCTATGAAAGCCAAAACCCCGCGTCGCTTCCTATCACTAACACCTGCGACAGCTGCTAAACACACACTACTTCACTTCAAGAAGTCTCACTCAAGCACCTGGGTCAGCACGAAACGACGAAACACTGATCACTTCGGCGAAACGATGCGAAACGATTAGTCGAGGTAGGCGAGACAGGCGGGAGCAGACCTCGGCGGCCATGAAAGATGGCGAAGCTTTTGTTTGTATGAATCCAAACGGAAGTGCCCGTCTTGTAAACCTTTTGTAAAGAATAATAACTCTCATCACATGGGTTATTCTTTAAACGTAAAAATATGCCGCTCAAAAGGAAATTGCAACGAATAACAAAGGTTTAACAACCAAGGTCTAAGCTGTCAATCAAACTCTTAGCCATTGAGAACCTTTTGGGATTGACGTCACATAAACACAACTTCGTGGCGCGCGATTTAAAACGGGCGAAATAGCCGCAAACTAAAATCAGTCTCACGCAATAAATATTGCTGTAAAAAATGTTTTTTCTCCCGGAAAAATTGTTTTTTGACATGCTTGTCCCAATTAGGCTATTAAAAAAAAAAACTTTTTTTTCTTTGCAGTTACCCTTTAAGAGAGGAAACCACTAGTTGGGTAAATCTTACAGCACGATTCTGAATGGACTCAAGATGACAAATGAGATAAACTTGATGTGGGCTCCAAATTGCTGATGCAAATTCCAATTTCGATCGAACATTTGTTTCTTGTGCCAATTTTCGTACGTGAGAGGGTGCTGCTTTTAGATTTTGTTTGATGTACCCAAGTGGTGCGGGCAGCTTCTGCCGTCATAGTTTCAATGTGGTTATTCCAGATTAGATCACTTGTCAGTGTTGCGCTGAGATATTTTTAACAAGGTGCGGAGTCAATTAGTTCAGAGGCAATAAAATACGAAAAGTTACGTGTCTTTTTTCTTTTTTTTTCGAGTGAAGCGAACCAGTTTGCATTTCGACGCGTCCTGCCGTACCCCAGCTCCTCGCTAAGTCTAGGCAGGTCCTTGCAGCCACTGGAGGTCTGCATTTCAACGGGGGCTCTCACGGAGATGAATGGGTGCAATGCAAGAGAGCGCTTTTTTCATGCAATGATTTTTTCATTTTCATTTTTAGAGCGCAGCTCTTAGGCGCCCATTTCCGGCTTGAGCGGCGTCGGCGTAACCGCACGGTGCATTATGGGTAAATTTCCCCCTAAATCTAGCGGAAAAATTTCCCCGCTAAATCTAGCGGAAAAATTTCCCCGCTAACTCTAGCGGGGAAATTTTAGTCACGTGACCGGGTGGGTCACGTGACCTGGGGAGTCACGTGACCCCTCCCCGAGGTCACGTGACACCAGCCAGGTCACGTGACCCCCTCCCGAGATCACGTGACCCCCCCCCCCCCCCCCCCCCCCCCGAGGTCACGTGACCTTGGAGGGAATCACGTGACCCTTTCCCCTATGTCACGTGAACCCTCCCCCCCGAGAACACGTGGCCCTCAGTACCCTTCCCCCCTCCTCCTCAAGAGCTGCGCTCCCATTCGGCGTTACAGGGTGTTGTAAACGGCTTTCACTTCTTTATGCAATTTTTATTTTCATGCAATGATGAGATTCACTACTATGTAACCGAAACAACTTCAATCCTCTCCATGGCCAAAGATATCCCTTGTATTGTATTGTATTGTATTGTATTGAATGCAATGGGCGCAGTGTTCAGTGCAGGGCCCAGGATCATTGGTTTCTGCAGCGTGAGCTTTCGCTAGGATCGTGTATCCCCGCAAGGATCGTGTATCAATATTTTTGAAAGAAGACGAGCTGATGGAGCAGCCACGAGATTGATGCTCGCTTCGTCGCCGCGTTGCTACGTGCGCCATGCAGATCGACCAGAATCGCGAGATTTCTGCGGTAGCGACCAGCAAGGCGAGCCAGTGGTGCCGCTAATGCGACCGGTCGGACGTCGGTGGCCCCGTGAGTACACCCCGCCTGGGCTCCTCTCTCCTAGTCTTAGCCGCGGGTGATTCACGCTGAGCTGAGCAGCTGCGTCCTTAAAGCGCGGACGAGATCATGTCCCTGAAGCGACACCCGCAAAGGATGAACAATACAGCAGGGACCTGACAACAGACGTGACGAGAAATGGAAGTTTATTGATGAGTCTTCGTATTTCATTGTGACCCAGTTTCGCAAATGTAGCAACTGAAGCCTGGGCCTCTTTCGAGTCACCACATGTATATATCGTTTCAGTGTGCAACTTCGCTGTGATACGAAAGGAGGCCACACGAAAGCAAATCTTAAAAGGGACTAGACCAGTGTATTTCAACTGGTGCAACAGAGAAAACTCGTAGTTTAAAATTTAAAATACTAACAAGGACCTGTGATCAATTAGATCGCAAACCGCCCATGCAAAGCCTTGGTTCCATGACAGATCTCATATCGCCAGACATACCGAACAGAAGGTAGATAATACTGCCTTGGGCATGTTAAATATTTTTTATCGAAAAAAAAGACGTTTACAGATCATTGTAACGCGAAATTAGAACGCAGCTTTTGAAGAGGAGGAGGGGAGGGTATGCCCCTCCTCCTCCTCCGTACCCTCTCCTCCTCCCGTCCTCCCCTGCTCCTCGTCCTTTACTCCTCCTCTCCCTTACTCATCCTCCTCCTTCCTTCCTCTTTCTCTCCCCTACTTACCCTCCTCCTTTCTTCCTCCTCCTCCGCAGGTGACGTCAATTTTCTCGCCAAATCTAGCGGAGAAACTGAATTTGCCCAAGCAAATTCCTCCCCGATAAATTCAGCGGGAAACTGAATGGGTGTTGAGGTCACGTGACATCAATTTTCCCGCTATATCTAGCGGAGAAACTGAATTTATTCATAGGTGACGGGACACCAAATCACGTGACGTCATGTCCCCGCTAAATTTAGCGGGGAATCTAATTGGTGTTAAGGTCATGTGACGTCAATTTTCCCGCTAAATTTAGCGCGGTTTCGTCGACGCCCACTCCGACGCCGCGAAGCCCGGAAACGGGCGCCCAAAAGCAGTGCTCTAAAAGAAAAAAAGACATTGTATACTGTAATGCGGAGCAAAGCAGAAAAACAGACCAGCACACTAACGCACACATTTCTTTAATGTGCCCTGCAAGACTTCATCTTCACGTCGTCCATTGTTCCAAACCAGCAGCATTGCTCGATACTTATGTCCAAAATGTCACCTCATCGCATCGGTTTTTTTAATGCTTCAGTTTTGTTCGTGCTGGGACAGATTTCCAACCAGCCCGAGCTAGAGGATGAGTTATCCTCCGGGACAGCAAGGCTACGCCTCCGGTGGACAGGGCTACCCTGCCCAGGGGCAAGTCTACAGTTCCGGGGGAATGAGCTATCCGCTTGGCTCGCAAGGTTACCCGAACCCGGGACGGATGGGCGTGGTACAGGGCTACACGCAGCCCACGGCCCAGGGAATCTACACGTCGGCCGTCGGAACGGGCGTCCCGGCGGCGGGTAACCCGGGCTACCCGTCCGCACCGAGCCCGCAGTACGTCCCCTCTCCGAACCAGCAGGGTTACACGACCTGGGCCGACCTCGGCAACGCTGCTGGTACGAATTCGCTTCAGACGATTTTGTATATGGGTAGGAACAAAGGGCAGAAAAGGCTTAGTGACTTGCTCTTCGGTCCCATTAGCTCGTTTTAATAAGATTGATGTGATTTAAACCACTGTAGCTATAAAATAGTCATTCCTAATCACTAGAGATATTTCCAGTATGGAAGTAACCGGGCAGATCAATCCGTCCGATTACTGAAAACAATGCTAGAAAAAAAGGAACTGCCGTAAATTTGAAGTGCAGTTTAATTAACGAAGTTTTTTTTTATCGGGTAAACCCCGCCATAGTAGAGGAAAAATTGCTCGATTTGTTTCAGTGCGTGAAAAAACTTTATTTGTTTTCTCTTTCGGGTTTTGATTTTCTCGTAATAAATGGGACACCACTTTTTTCTAGTGTTCGTTTCGTTTATTCGCAATCTTATTTACCTGCAACAAAGACTGTATACGTAACTGACCAAGGAAGTGGAAAGTAGAAAGCCAAAAAAGTCCCGATTTGCTCAAAAGACCACTCGTGTGTGCTCGTGTTCAGCCCGATATAGGTGTTTCCTACTCGATGATTCCTTGATTATTCCTTGATTTCAATACAAAGCAAAGTCACATAGAAGACAAAAAAAAAAAAATCGGTAAATTAAAAAACAATAGAGATTTTCGTGATTATTATTATTATTTTTTTGTTGGGAAGGTTTGTTTTAAATAATCACTGTAAAACCGGCCTGATTTAGCTCTTGATTTAAATCACCTTGATTTTTATTCTCCACCCTGCTTCTTATCGGTTAATATCGCCACCTCACTTGACTGCGGACCAATGCTAAAATGCTAAAATAATCCCATAGCAACAACTGCCCACAAAGACGCCACATATATGTACCAGGGCAACGATCTGCGTCTGTCTGCATAGTCCAGGTCGTGTTATTCTTGTCTCCTTTCTGGGAATCGGTATAAACCTTGGGAAAACAATTGCTTTTCGGCTGTTATTATTTTATTATTGTGCGTCGCATGCGCGCGGAACCTTTCATGCTGTTGCTTAGGCGACCACGGTATTGCAGGGCTGTTCTGCAAAAGCGTCTAGCGCAGAACACGATTCATTTTACGAATGAGTCACTCAGTCTGGGTAGTTTTCCGCGAATAAAGTCCACTATGTATATTCAAACGAGTGTGTGTGTTTTTTTTAGGAGCTTATAAGGTGATTCAACGGTGAGCGCGATTCAGCGCGTTGTCATGAGACGTGAAAGAAAAAAGGCACGAGATTGATTCACGTCACAAGTTTAAACTGGTGAGTTCGAGTAACCTCAGTCGACAAACGTCTGTGTCGCTAGCACGAGTTACTTGATTGACGTGCATATTGTTTCGGAATATAGTATAAGATATGATCCTATGTTTAAACTTAGCGCCCAGGATGGACATTCATAACCCCCGTATACGGACAGACCAAACAAATCCACGAACCGCTTTAATTGCAGGAGAAACAGTCATATAAACTCTAAAATGAATCGTATGAAGTATTCTTAAATGAGCCATCCCAAGTTTCCTGAACCACCAAAAATTTAAATTTAGATCCGCACAATTCACGCATTTCTGATCATCCGCAGGTCGTCAGGTCGTCTATCCTGTAGCGCAGTCACGTCAGCAGCAACAGCTCCAGCAGCAACAGCAGCGACAGCAGCAACAGCAGCAGTACTACCCCAGCAGCGGCGGTGGTTATGTCATACCTGTGAGCGGCATGGGAAACGTGGGGCAGGGCTATCCTCCGGGCACAGGAATGGCACAGTATCCGGGCATGGCGCCGATGCCGTCGGCTTACCAGCGTGGCAACCGCCAGACGCCGCCTGGATACTACGTGGCTCGTTATCCATCGCAGCGTTAGGCGGGATGAGGACTGCCTTGCAACTACGAGGCGCCACGTGAATACCACGTGGCTCGTTATCTGTCGCAGTGTAAGGGCGTACTGAGGACCATCTGCGTGAGAAATTAGAAATGTGAAGCATTGCAAGAAGTTCATGTGGCAGCATAAATGTTATGAGGTAGAACTTATTTGTAATAAAGTATGTTCATGGTGGACGATTTTGTTAAGCCCAAGTATTTAGCTCTCCTTGCATGTACGCAGCGTGACACTGTATGGAAGTATGCAACGCGTAAAGCCGCTTTCGCCATTTGAGAAACGAAGACAAACCTAAAATATATCAAGTTGACAAGTCGATAACTTGCAGGTGGAGGCGTCCGACCATCTTGCTGCCAAATGCATTTGAAAGGAAGATGGTCTCTGCGTCTGTCACTTAGCAGATACATAGCACTTAAAATGCTAGGATTTTGTTTCAATTTCTACATGAATGTTTTTATTTATTTTTATTATATGAACATTTATAAATATTCGCGTCTATCTTGTATCAGGAAGACTGCCGCTGCGATGTGGGATCAGAATAATGACTGCAAAATTTTCATTGGCAGCGAGTTAAGTATAGATGCACTTCGCAAACGCAGAGCTTCAAGCTCATTTTGGGTTCCTCCATCTACCCTGTAGAAGAAAAATATGTATGTCATCTGCCATGCCTACGCCGGGAGGGATGACGATGTGTGTGTGTGTGTGTGGGGGGGGGGGGGGGGAGGGGGAGGAGGGCATTTGCGAGGAAACTCGTGAGAAGGACGGTGTTTTCTTGCTATTTCTGCTGGAAAGTGACTTTCGGGTCATGGATGAGGGAGAGTTGACGCGTAATTTCCTGCTGGAGATTGACTATGGCGGCGTCAAAGTTCTGCGCATATTCCCCGAGACGATTGGACAGAGAGAAAGAGAGAGAAGTGTTGAAAAGAAAGGAAGCCTGGAACTTATTAACCACCATCGATTGGGGGCAAGCCAGTTCCAGGTTGGGGATGGGGAATGAGGGGATAAAAAGAAAAGATTATAAAGGTGAAGAGGGAAGAGAGAAGGCATATTGGATGAGGTCACAGTTACTTGATTAGGTTTGTCCTTTACTACGATTGGACAGAAAAGCGTACTGGTCCGCATTCGAAGGGGTGGGAGTGAAGGGAGAGGTGGTGTCCGTAATGGAAACGCTACTGCGTATGGAGACTGGAGGAGGAGAAGAGGGGAGGTTGTGCAGGTGTGAAGGATGGGGTGGGTGGTGGGGCGGTGCAGTAGGTTGCTTGGAGAGTATGTCTCGATAAGTGAGTGGGGATGTTTATTCATCAATCAACACACGGACCCGGATATTCTGCCGACCGCCACCACACTTTGTTGGCATTCTGAGAGGTCATCCTGCTCGTACTTCGTTTCCTGTCCTGTTTGCTGCGTATCAATGTTCGCTTACAGACAGTGTTCGCGAGAGCAGTAAGTGCCGGACTGACGACAAAAAGGAAAGAAAAAAACAAACGAAAACTCAACGTTTTGCCGTAGCGGGGTTAAATATACAAGCAAAAAAAATGTGCCTGTTTGACACTGAAGTCTGTATTGTTGTCGTGGGTCGTTGCCCGTTCTGCGTTGCGCCTCCAGTGTGGCCATCTTTACTTCCGTAAAACCATCCCTTTCTTTGCAGATTTTTTATGGGCGAAGCTCCTTTGGGTCTAACCTTGCCTAGCCACATAGATTGCCATCCCATCTGTCTTCTTAAAAAAAAGACGGGAAAAAATGTGCGCAGTCGACAGGATTCGAACTTGTGCGGGGAGACCCCAATAGATTTCTAGCCCATCGCCTTAACCACTCGGCCACGACTGCGGGACGAGTAGGGGCTCTGAGATGAGGTAGTAAATCAAGAGCTGGCGATGTCACGGATGAAACGTTGCATGTAGCCGCTCAACGTCTATGCAGGAGAGGGCGCTGCAGTCAAATGCGTATATAATTGCATTAAACTTTGCATGCATGGCTCAACGTTTATAGACGAGAAGGCGCTACGATGAAATGCTAAAAAAAATTAGTATCATCAGCACCACCAGAGCTACGCCCCAATCAACATCATTCAACACGTAGAGATGCGGTTATTTATTTATTTATTTATTATTTTTTTTTTTTTTGGGGGGGGGGGGGGGGGGGACTCTAGCAAACAAAAGGCGCCTTTGAGAAGGCGATGAGAAAACCTTAATTGTACGAACCTTGGGGTGAAATATGGGTCATAATCGGCACAAGAGCGATGTTTTTACGAGCTCAATCTAAGTCACCGTAGCTTATCGAAGCTAGCAACAGTATATGGTTGCTCTAAAGAATGTTCACGTTTGCTCGTGCCACGCCCACGCCACTTCAAACCGAAAAACTCGGAAAATGGCGCAATGTCAAAAATGTATTTAAGGTAATGAGTACAAGATACTCATAAATTTAAGTAAACTACAGTATCAAATACTCTCAATCAAAAGTATTTGCAATATACCGATATACTTGAAAAGTATTTGGAGTACAGTATCTTAAGTAGAGTATTTGAGATATGCACAAGTCTGTGACACAGCCCCTGGTCCCCCTCCTCCTCTCTCCACCCTAGCCGACGTACTTGCCTCCCGTTGTGCCTTCCATCCTCCCCATCCTTAGCTTACTCGTCGTGAGCGCCGTTCACACACTTGCAACCGAGTAGGACGGAGAGAGACAAGACCGGTTTTTGAGCCTCTTGCGACGGCGTAGGACCAGATGCGCTGCCGCGGAGCAGGTCTTACGCCATCGCAAGAGGATTAAAAGACCGGTCTTGTCTCTCTTGGTCCTCCTCGGTTGCAAGTGTGTGAACGGCGCTTTATTCGACAGGCCCAAGCATATACACACTTCACACACCCACTCGACTCCACTTATACCGCCGCACCCCCAAAGAAACCCTCTTCCTCTCTGCTCCCACTGCCTAACCCCATCTGAGCAGGACCACCCTCTGTGGGACTCCACACCATTACACCCGAAAGTGGCTGGCTTTTTCGGTCAGACTCCAACAACAACAGAAGCTGGGGCTCACATCAACAAGGCCCTCAGCGACTGACTAGACCGAGGCGGCTGATTCATCCCCACCGTCTTTTAAATAAAGTTGATATCTATCTATCTATCTGTAGAAGAGAAATTTAGACTGCTAGCCGGGGTCTTTAACGTGCATCGTTCAGTAGTGATGGACATGCACGACCGCACGCCGGTACGATGTTCATTCCGATCGAAACTGGCAGGGATCTCTGGTTCTGCAGCGCGAGCTTTTCCTCCTGATGTCTCACGTGCTTCTGAACAAGGAAGACAAAGACAGACCCATTGGAATTAACAACAGTGGCATAATTTCTCTTGACATTCAGGTAGTGCATACGGAGAAAAGATAATACCATGTAAGTGCATACGTACCGTACAAGTTCCCATAAAAATTATGTTCTTACAGAGAACGCCTGCTATATGGAATATATATATCCAATATTCTCGTCACCTACGTACGTTGCGATGTTCTGTCAGATTGTTCGGTCACCGTGTTTCTTCAGGGGACATCTAGTGAATCGACATAACAGCTATATTTATAGACGTTCAGAGTAATAATAGTTTCCCCGTTCTCTTTCGGCAGAACAACAATGAACAACCCGCCTCCAGGTCCCTATTCTTCTGGAACACGAGGATTTACTCCTGGGAGCGGGAAAGGATACCCAACTCAGGCTCCACTTTATAGCCAAGTGTTAGCTCCCGGCAGTGGGCAAGGTTACTCTTCCCAGGGCGGTCAAGGATTTCCTCCCTGCGGGACTCAAGGATACCCTTCCAGTGGTACTCAAGGGTTTCCTCCTAGTGGGGCTCAAGGATATCCTCCCAGTGGTACTCAAGGATATGCTCCTGGTGGGACACAGGGATATCCCCCCAGTGCCGGAGGAGGATATGGATATAGTGGCGGACAAGGAGCATTTTCTTCGGGAGGACTCGGATACCCTGCTTCGAGCGGAGCTGCTGGCTCCCCGCCACCTCCAGGATTCAGGCGGGAGGTAGAACCTCAAGTATACGGAGGACAGGGAGTTCCCCCTGGCTCAGCACAAGGAGTTCCCCCTGCCGGAGTACAAGGATATCCTTCCTCTGGTGGACAAGCTTACTTTCCCGGTCAGCAAGGCTCGGGATACGGAGGTCAAGGGCAGGTTCCTGGGGGTTACGGCCAACCCGGCCAGGCATACCAGCGTGCTGGCGCAGGTTTTGCAGGTGCCGGAGGCGTATGGGGCGGCACGCAACCTGGAATGCCCGGTGATCCTAGATATGGCAATCCTAGAAGTGGCCCCGGGATTCCTCCGCCCTTCGGACGAGGCTCGGGTGTCGGCGGTTCGTCGGGAGGACCTCCGTTTTATTGAGTATAAATCGTGTGATCGTAGGACTGCCTGTCCAAATCATGTTCTATACAAATATTGTGTATGCGTCTTTTTTTGTTATTAATTTCTTGCGATGTTTTGTTTCTGTGTATCTTTTGTTAAATGGGTTCTGTCGCTTGCCATCTGGCCTGTTGGAGCAAGAATTACATAGCACGTGTCTCAACTCTGATATTTACCTTACTCAAGTTTGTTTTTGTATATGTTCAGTGCTACGAGCTTGTTCGTTTGTAGCCCCATGCTTGTGACATAATTTTCTGATATAAGCAGCAATGTACGTATCCTGTTTTTTTTTTGTTTTTTTTTTAGTATACGGAAGCTGCAAAGGTTACCGGTGACGTCACACGACTGGCAAAAACTTTGTAGTTTTCGGAACCCGCAATTTTGTTTGGCTTTGGACTGCGCTGAGCCACATACAAGACAAAGCTTTACGTCATCATCGCCGCCAGCGCGTTATGCAGAGTCTCAAAACGAGCGCGACCCTATGCGCCGAGAAAGGGAGGGAGAGGAGAAGACGAGAGCGCGCGGGGACATCAGAACGCCGCGTCTCCAGCTCGTTGCTCGCCGTCTGGCGGCGGAAATGGGAAGCGCTCCAGTGAGGCTCCCCCGGTTCTCCGGCTCAGCGGGTACGGCGGAACTGCTCGCGATTATGGCTCGCCAACAGTCATTGCTGAATGCAAACAACGCTTTTCACTGTCCCAATTTAGTGCTGGAGGCGGTATGGGATTGTACCTTACTAGAGAATTTCAATATTTCGTATAGAAACAAACGCAAGTTCTGTTCG